GAATTCTGAATGCCTTTAATAAGGCTGGTTTGTGAATTAGCAGTAGAATCAGAAATGGAGCCGTACATGAGTTTGTGGAAGAATTTTATTCCACTTAAATAGCTCTTGGAGTTGTCTTGAATGTGTTTGTAGAATGCAAGCATGTGCCGTATAGACTGATTGTAGGCGGGGAAAACAGAAATGAGGTGTTGTGTGGGAAATGGAATGTGTGGATATGTTGAGCAGTGATCAACTGATGAGGTGTTCTGGGGCAACTTAAAATGTATAAATGAATGTTGATGCAAATTGTGTATGCTGTGGTTATGGGATTATCATCTTAAAAGGAGAGATGGGGTCAGCTGCGGCTCTGCTTCTGATACCTGTTTCTGAAAATAAAGCAAAACAAAAAGAGAGTCAGCGATTTCCTATGCAACTAGGAACATGTAGAACAGTTAGAATTAAATTTTTATTTATTATTATTATTATTTATGATTATTATAATTTTCTTAAATTTATTTATTTATACATATATATATATATATATATATATATATATATATATATATATATATATATTTTTTTTTTTTTTTTTATTAATTAATTAATACATTTTTTTTTTAATTCAGAATGTAGCGATGGAGAGCCGCCTTAAAGCAGGTTAATGATAACGCCCTTTATTAGTGCAGTAAACGGCAACTTCGTTGTAACTGTGCATGAGAATATTGGAGGCAGACTATTAATTTCTCCACTATATCGCCTGTTAGAAGCGCGTCGGCGGCCCTGATAATATACCCCACAGAGGGGGCAGCATCTGTGTAAAAAGGATATACTGAGGATGGAATTGGATAGCTAATAAATGAATGGCTTCTATTCCAGCGCTTAAGGAAGGAAAGCATAAGGCAGGTCACATGCTTTAAGCGCCACCTGATGGTTACAAACCTTTATGAATTTCTTTCTTCTGTTAAACCAGGGGTCACCAAACATGGTCTTGATCTTGTGTGTTGCTCACAGGCCTGTTCTAAAAATAGCTCACCATAGCGCCACTTACTAGTAAGCTTTCTCTAATATAGAAGTAATCATTTAAAAATGTAAATATTTGCAAAGATATATAAGAATAAAGTGTTGCACATTGATGTGTTAATTACAGGGTATTTCCTACCCTGTTAACTCATTGTTGGTAACTTTGTGAGAACTTTTGTGATCAGCATCTTCACATGGATGAATATTATTAATTATTACCAAACCTAAATTATAATTAAAAGTAAATTGAGCAAATTGTTATTTGAGAAGTGTTTATCAAACTGGTAGCCCTCCCCGTTAATCGGTTCCCAAGAAGTAGCTCTGTTTCATGGAGGTTGGTGACTCCCGTGTTAAACACTAAAGACAACATTTTGAAGAAAGCTGAAAACCTGTAACCATTGACTTCCATAAGAAGGAAATAAATACTATGGAAGACAATGCGGCTGTCCGTAGTACCCAGCCACAATTCTGGACACTTCGTATTCTGCCGCGCTGCGGAGCGCTATTTGTACATTTGATTAGTTTATTTTTTGATAGCGTATGAATGCGTGTGACTGGTGTGCATTAGCCCTCTATCCCCTGTCGTAAGCGCGCCGCGTCACCGCGCCGTCGGCGCCTCCGGTGTGCGACGCCCTTCAGGCCGAGTTTGCTACGGCCAAGATCGGATTTAGATCATTTCTCTTCTACTCCGGAGATTGATGCTGCGAGATGAAGTAGGTGAGTGACGAAAAGGCATCCCTGCGGGATAGTGCGCATGTGTGTTTGATGTTCTAAGATGGAGAGCAGTTTGTGCTTAGCGTGATCTTTCTTACATAATATAAAAGGGGACTAGTTTGTCGATTTATCCAAGTAGCCTATGGATGCTTGAAATTCTGTCACTCCAAATTGATGCTTAAGAATTCTATAGAGTGCTTAAGCTGGAGGTTCTTCCGCGATGGGAATGCAAATATTAGAAAACCGGTCACTAAATTTAGCTGGAGGATATTAGGGAGAGAGAAACGGGAAACTTCTAGTAGATGAATTACATGCAAACGGTGTAGTTATTGGCGAGAATCCAGCGGACCATTTTAAGGCATAAATGTGTGTGCTACTTCTGCATCCGAATGTTAAACGGACTACGAAATATAATTGTGACCTCGGGTTAATGCCAGAAATCGGGTTACATAGGAAGGCGGGTGTAATGTTGATTGCAACCGAGCGTTGCAGCTGTCTAGATTAGAGAGATTGCTTGGTTTATAAGGTGATAATTTAAAGCATCTTCATTAGGCAGAATCATGCTGTTAATGCTGAAAAAGGCAGAATTATGAGGAGATGAAAGAGC